GGCGGGCCCGGGGGGGCGGGCCGCCTGGTAACCCCTCCCTGTCCGGGCCCCGCCGCCGAGCAGGGGGCGGGGCCCGCCGGCTGACCCCTTGCCCCCTCCCGGCCTCCGGCCTCCACCCCTTCCGGGATCCCCGTCCCTGGACTCCCAGGGATCCGGGAGGGAGCTCTGGCCCTGAGGTCTCCGCCCTCAGCCCCCAGCCCGTCGGGGCTGAGCCGACCAGCCCACCCACTTCCGCGAGGGTGCAGGGGCGGGATCACGACACGGGCCGTCTGCCCGGGGGCGGAGCTTTTCCTTAGGGGTAAGAGCAACGCATCCCGAACTGGACTGGCGGGGGACAAGGCGGCGGGTTGTAAAGGCTGGGGTGGGAGGAGGCTTAGGGTATTGGGGTCAGGGTGGCATTAGCCCAGCTCAAGCCGGGCTGGGCTGATTCAGCATCCTGCGCCGGCCAGCCCTCATCCCCGACAGCTCTGCACTCCCCTGGGCAGAGATGGGAGATGGCGCCGGTGTTGCCCCTGGTGCTGCCCCTCCAGCCCCGCATCCGTCTGGCTCAGGGGCTCTGGCTCCTCTCCTGGCTTCTGGCACTGGCCGGTGGCCTCACCCTCCTCTGTAGCGGGCACCTCCTGGTCCAGCTGAGGCACCTTGGCACCTTCCTGGCTCCCTCCTGCCCGTTCACTGTCTTGCCTCAGGCTGCCCTGGCAGCGGGTGTAATGGCTCTGGGCACAGGACTGGGTGGTGCAGGAGCCAGCCGGGCAAGTCTGGATGCAGCTCGATACCCTCCCTGGCGAGGGGTCCTGAGCCCACTGCTGGTGGCTGGCACTGCTATAGGCGGGGGACTCCTGGTCCTTGCCTTGGGGCTAGCCCTGGGTTTGCCTGGGACTCTGGATGTGGGGCTGGAGGAGGGTCTGAAGACTGCGTTGGCTCACTACAAGGACACAGAGGTGCCCGGGCACTGTCATGCCAAACGGCTGATGGATGAGCTGCAGCTGAAGCACCACTGCTGCGGGCGCCATGGGTACAAAGATTGGTTTGGGGTCCAGTGGGTCAGCAGCCGTTATCTGGACCCCAGTGACCAGGACGTGGTTGAGTGAGTGATTTGCTTCTCTCCTCCTCTTCCCCCTCCCCCTCCTACGCCTCCTCCCTAGACAGGCTCCCTCCTGCTGCCTTGAAACCACAGCTAACCCAGACAGGCAATAAATAGAGCACAGTGCTGGAGAGAATGGGTTGCAGCTCTGCCATTTATTAGCTGTGCAAACCCAGGGCATGTTACCAAACCACTCAGGGCTCATTTCCTCATCTGTAAAATGAAGTTAATAGTACCTATCTCACAGACTTGTTGTGAAGATAGATGAATTATGCATGCCTGGCACATAGTAGAGCAGTCAGTAAACATTTTACTATCATTTTTCTCTTCTCTACTCCTGTGCCCCTCAGCTTCTCCCCAGGCCTCTTATCTCCAGACATCCTAACACCCCTGTCCCTCCCTTTGCAGCCGGATCCAGAGCAATGTGGAAGGCCTATACCTTACTGATGGGGTCCCTTTCTCCTGCTGCAACCCTCACTCACCCCGGCCTTGCCTACAAAGCCGACTCGCAGACCCCTATGCCCATCCCCTCTTTGATCCCCGACAGCCCAACCTAAACCTCTGGGCCCAAGGGTGCCACGCGGTGCTGCTGGGGCACCTGCAGGGCTTGGCGAGCACACTGGGCAGCATGCTGGCTGTGACTTTCCTGCTGCAGGTGAGTCTGCAAAATGCCCGAGGCCTCCTTCCATCTGGGACTCCTCACTGCCTCCAACTCCGGGGTCCCTGGGACCGCTGAGCCTCCTTGACTCTTTCCCCTTGCTTCCCCCACAGGCTCTGGTGCTCCTCGGCCTGCGGTACCTGCAAACAGCGCTGGAGGGGCTTGGCGGGGTTATCGATGGGGAAGGAGAGACCCAGGGCTATCTCTTTCCGGGTGGGCTGAAAGACATGCTAAAAACAGCATGGCTGCAGGGAAGGGCTGCCCACAGGCCAGCACCTGAGCAGGCCCCACCAGAAGAGGCACCTCCTAAGGAGGATATACCTGAGGCCTAGTGGCCTGGAGCTTGGGGGTGGGATGGGGAGGAGGGGAAGAGGGAGGGATGGACAAGGCTGAAAACCTCACAACTCCTTACCAAGGCTCCAAGTTAGGGGGGTGGGGGGGGTGTCTCTGGGATTAGAGAGGTTAAAGATAGTCAACAAGCTGGACTGGCATGAGAGAGAAAACCAGGTGTCCCAGGGCCCAGCTCTTGTGGCCAGAACCACCAGGGAACAGAAAAGAAGAGGGTGATGAGTAAGTGACACAGGAAGGACTGGAGACTGCTGTTGGTGCATGGACTCAATAAAGCCTTTGGATGGTAGCCACTGCTCTTTCTCACTGATTTCTGTCTGATGGAGAAGCCAGGACTCCAAAGTTTTGACCCTGGCTCTGCCTGTGTAGGAACAGATACCCCCATATCTATGAGGATCAGAAAGCAAGAACCAGCTATGTGAAGTGAAGGAAAACAAGAAGCCCCTCCAGGTTGGGATTCTTTATTCTGGAGGTAGAAGCGTGGGGGGGTGGGGGGTGTCAGCATGCTCAGGTGGGGAGGGTCCAGCCCAGCTCCTCCAGCCCCCCAGCACATGCCCAGCCCCAATAAGTTACACAGTTCCTCAGCTTCCCTCCCTCCTGAGTCCATCTGTCCTCTTCCACCCCAGGCAGGGCTGACCTGGCTCAAGACAAGGGCCACTTGTCTCCAGCCTGTGGGCAGTGCTACATGGCAGGCTGGGGGAGAGGAGAACCAGCTGGGCCATGCCCTGGGGCTGGAGGGACAGAGGGGCCACCTCTGGCTCTGAGGGTCAGGACTTGGAAAACCACATCCTGGGCAGACATGGGGCCCAGTCCCACAAGGTCTGTGCCTGAAATGAGGTGGTAGTCAGGGTGGGGCCGCCATCACACCTCAACGGCTGGGTCTGAGCCCCTGCCCTGCCGCTGTAGCTGTTCCTCTTGCTTCATCTTGGGCTTCTCGGTCCGTGTATGCCACACCAGTACCTGTAGCAGGAGGGTTGCAGTTAGAGCCAGGGCCATGCCTCTAGGGCCTTCAGTGTAGAATGGATTCTCCAACCCCTCTATGAACACAGCATTGGCTGGCTGCAAAGAGTGAAGGACAGGGTGGCAGAAAACTTCAGTGCCTCTAAGACAGGGCAGTATCTCTTTACCCTCTCTGTGCCGCATGGGTTCCCAGGACTCTGGAAGATGAAGTGGCAGGAGACCACTTTCCCTCCCTGGCTCCCAGCTTCCCCTTCAGTAGAGTAAGCAAGGCTGATCAGAGATCTGGAGCATCCCTCCTAGTTCAAACACCTCATTCCACTTCTCCCACTACCTGTCCATCCCAGAGCCAGGTTTCTGTGCCCGCCTCCATCCCCTTACCCGAGTGCAGTTGGCAGCCCGTGGCTCCAGGTCCTTGGGATCCACGAGGTGGCTCAGGAGACTGCTCTCCAGATGGCCCCGGGGAGCAGTTGCATCAAACTGGGCATTGGGTTTAGCCAGCAGCAAGGGCAGGGCTACAGCAAATCCAGCCATATCCACGGGGAAGGGCCTGTTGGGCTCCCATGCTGTGTGGAAGCCCACAACCCGGCCATCCTGCACCCGAGGGCCCTCAAATCGCAGGCCGCCCACCAGCCCCACAGGCCACACCGAGACACCACGGGTCCAGCGCATCTAATAGAGGTCAAGACAGAAGAAACAGAGAGGGGTGGCCCAGAGAAAAGGGAGCAGCAGAAAGAACCACCTGGCTCACTCTGCTCCACTGCTCCCTGCTCCTCCCCTAGCAGCCTCTAGCAACACTGGTAACCAAGGTAATGGCTGAAGCTAACCCCAGCTGGCCTCTCTCTCTATCCCCATCCCTTGGCTCACCTCTTCAAAGAGCTCCCGGCTGTAGGTGTTGTCGTCATCAGCAAAGTACACGACTCCTTGGGTCCCCGGCGGTGGTGGGTCCTTTTCCCCCCCTACAGCACCCCCTCTGCCCCGGAGCCAGTCCAGGGCCTTGTTCCGCTGCTCTACACCACGAGGCCGAACCCAGCCTGGCTCACCCTCGCGAAGCCGCTGGGCCTTGGGGGTGAGGATGGCCAGGTGTGTGAAAAGGAGGCCGGAGGCAGCCAGCAGCCCTGAGACCAGCGGGGTGGGACCCTCAGAGTCCTCCACCAGTAGCCAGTGCAGCCGGGGCACCAGGCTCAGCGTCTGGGACAGCCGTACCAGCTCTGCCTTCTGTACCAGCCTGCAGGGGGAGAGACGCAGCAGGAGGGAAAGAGGGTAGGCACTATTTGGACACTCCAGCCAGGACAGGCAGCTTCCCCTGGGCCGCTGCTAGCATATCCCATGGCCTTTCCCCAGCCAGTGTCCACACTCCCTCTTTCTCGCCTGTTTTATGCCGACACTCACATGCCCTGTTGTTCCAGTCCATGTCCATCACCCACTTCAACCCCTCTGGCTGTAGCATACTATAAATTAAGGACACAGCCTTTGAGATCAGACAGATGTGGGCTTGAATCCCAGCTTTATAACTTATTAGGTGAGACACTTTTGGAAAATGGCTCAATCTCCCTGAGCTTCAGTTTCCTCAGCTGTAAAATGGGAATAACAGTATTTTATAGACCAGATTCTTTTCTTCCTGTGCTGTTTTTCCAAAGAGAGGAATTTATTTTAGAGAAGTCCTTTGGCTCATTCCTCTCTGGGGAGGAAGAAAGATTTGAGGCTAAAGAAGAAACTGGGAATGTGTGGTTCAATCTCTAATGCGCTTCTTTATCCTTCAAGTCTGCCTGCCTCCCCCAGGGTTGGTGGTATGTGCATGTGTGTGTGTGTGCACATTGTGGGGGAGAGGGGGGCAGCTAGAGCAGCCTGTGCCTGGATGGGTCAGCCACCTGATTTCAGAGAGGCCTGTTAACAGGCCCTTTTGGCTACAGATCCGAAACCACATTCCCCAATTGCTTTTATCGGTAATAAAGCTACATTTTGACTTAAAACAAAAACAAAACATGTACCTGGTAGACAGCAAACACACTGTAAATAATAACTAGTGTAACCATTTCTAGAACCTGGTATGACTGTTAGACCAAATGCCTTTCTACTTTAACTTGGGGGGTTTAAACTTCTTGCCAAAGGATCCCTAAGGAGAGAGTTAACACATTGGCAAACTCAAAATTTCTCCAAAACTTTATCGATCTATCTTAAAATTTAGCAGGAATTTTGTATTTTACTTTATAGTATACCCATGTCTACTTTAATAGGAAAACAACCATTTCCCACAAATCTTTGAGTAAAAATGTGGTTCATTTACCCTGTTGTTGGGCATGCTCTAGTTTGAGGTTCATCCCCCAGCCCAGTGCCTCCCAAACTCATCAACCCCAGCTTCTTGATTGATGCAGCCCTCTTGGATGTACCAGAACCCATACCTGGCATAGGTGGGAGTAACAACATAGACAGTAGGCAGGGCCTCGGGTTCAGGGGGCTGGGCAGGGGCAGGGGGTGGGCGTCGGAGATCGGCTTGCAGCTGGGAAATCCTCAGGTCCTTCTGCCGAAGCTGCTCTGCCGCTGCCCGCAGGGGAGGGAGGCAGTCACATGGCTGGCCTGGTCCCAAGACACATGGATGGGGAAGGGAGGTGGGTCCAGAGAACCACAGAATGTTTAGCATCCCATAGCCTTCTCCTTTAACCCCTAGCAAATGCAGGAATCCCCTTACAACTTCTCTAGTAGCCCTTTCTACACCTCTGGTTAGGGTCCAATTGAGGCACCTCACTACCTCAATTAGCAGCCTCTCTCCATCTTTAATAAATTCCAGCTGTTACAATTTTCATTTGACTATTGAACTGATTATCTGCCTCCATCCTTTCTACCTGCTGGTCCTAATTTTGCCTTCTATACTCATAAACAAGTCGACGTCTTTAAACAGGACAGTCTTTAAAATACAGGAGGATCACGCAATGGTACTCTCTCTAAATCCCTGCATAAGAGACAGGGTTCAGTCTGTTCCCTTGGCTGTGTGACCAAAGACTGGGCATTAAATTCATTGATTCCATCATTGGATAAATATTTATTGAATACTCCTCCTGGGAAGCACTGCCTTAGGTGCTGGGGATACAGCAAGGAACAAAACAGACACGATCCCTGCCTTCATGAAGCTCTGCAGTTCAGTGGAGGAAGCAGACTCTAAGCAAAGAAACAAATTAACGAAATCATTACAAATTGTGATAAGGGCCATGAAGAAAGTATATAAGACGGAAAATAAAAGGGAATTGGGAATAAGAAGGGTAACTTTAGCTGAAGAGTTCGGGGAAGGCCTCTCTGAGGAGGTGGCATTTGAGGTAAGACCTGACGGATGAGAAAGGGGCAGCATGGGAAGAGCTGGGAGAAAAGCACCGAAGGCAGAGGGAACAGGTTAAGAGCCTGAGAGCAAAAAGCTTGAGGTTTTGGAGAAACTGTCAGAAAGCCAGTCCGGCTGGAGTAGAGCAAGGGAGGGGGAGAGGGGTTGGACAGGCAGACGGCGGATCATGCGGGGCCTTGCAGGCTCTGGGAAGGAGTCTGGATTTCGTCCGCGGTGCGTTCTAGAGGGGATGCTGCGCCCGCGGCCGCAGACGGCTGTGCGGAGGACCGGGCGGGATGAATGGTGTTTACGCGGGGGCTCATCCCTAGGGCGGGCTGCATGGCGGCGGGCGCCGTCGTGCCAGCCCGCCGCACCCCCGCCCCGCCCCGCTCACCGAGCTGCACCAGCGCGTAGAGGAGGCCGGCGATCGACACCAGGAAGTAGACGAGAAACACGTTCTTCAGCTTCAGCTTCATGGCCGCGCCGCCGCGGGCGCCGGAGCAGGCGGGGTCCGGAGGGGACTAGGGTTCCCCGCCCCCCGCCCGACGGCCCCGCCCCTGCAGCGGCCCCGCCCTGCGCCCCGCCTTCCTCCCGCTCTTCGACCGGATCCCTGGAGCTGGGGCAGGCAGCTCCGTCCGGGGCCCACTTCCGGTCACCTGTGCCTGCCTCCCCGAACTTCCGGCCCTACCACCTGTTTCCGGGGACTGTGTGACGTCATATCCGGTGTCTAGCGCCCTTAGCGGGTAGTCAGAAGCCCGAGTAGGTGCACGTGGTTCGTACTTCGAGACCCGCCCCCTGAGCACGGAATTGCGTGAGAAACCCCATCCCTGAGCCCAGATTTTTCTCCTTACGTGAATTCATCCATCGTCAGTCACAGCACCCAATAACAATTGCTCAACACTTGTTACACAAATGAATGAGACCTAGGGCCTACCACGTGCCAGGCCAATACTCTGGGTATCGCATATAAATAACCCTCTCAGATAATGGTACTGTCCCCATTTCAGATAAGAAACCAAGGC